AGAGAAGAGAGAGAGAGAGAGAGAGAGAGAGAGAGAGAGAGAGAGAGAGAGAGAGAGAGAGAGAGAGAGAATTTTCGTTTTTTTTTAAATGAAACCTTTGGAACAAGAGGCTGAATCTCAATATATCGTGCGACTTGGTCAGTCTACTGCCTAGAATATCAATCAATTATTTTACCAATCATTGATACAGTATCAAATATCCAATCAATGATTGGCGAAAGTCATACATAACAAGATCTCATATCTTTCGCACAATCCAGATACGAAAAAAGACATTTTTTTTTTTGCACAAAGCGAGGCGCATCTGCTGCGTTCAGTTGTATGTGTATTTTATTATCCTTAAAAAAAAAAAGGAGTATGTCTATTTTATTTTTTAACTTGATGATAGCGTTAAGGGTGCAGGGTTGGGCCCGCCTGTGTGGGCCCGGCTGACACACAAGGACCGAACATTTGCCAGTAAAAGTAACTGTGCCTCCCTTTTCATCGTCCCCCCTCCTCCTCTTTGTGCCTCCCTTTTCATCTTCCCCCCCCTCCCCCCCCCTCCCAATCGCGCAACAATATATAGTGTCTATATCCAACACTCTCCCACACAGCACACGCAAGCAACGTGAACTTGCACTCCCACTCGCACTCACACCCGTGTTGGCTGAAGACCTTTTTTTTTTTTTTTTTTTTTTTGGTTGTTGTTGTTGGCTGAAGACCTTACCTATACCGACTGGGAGGATCCAGCTGACTGTCTCAGTTGGTTGGCACCGAGAGTGGCACAGAGGTACAAAGCTATGCTTGCAGGGGTCCCCTGTATAGGCGAAGGAGTAGTGGTAGGGAGCTAGTGAAAGAAAAAAGATATGTTCCATACATGATGACGTGGCAGAACGGCAGTTAAAAATAAAATGTGAGGTGAGAGCGAAAATATATGGCTGTCCCCCGATGAGGAGAAGGCGGCCTTTTAGAAAGATAATTTATTGTTTTTTTTTTTTTTTTTTTTGAAATTTGAAGTTGATATTAGTTAGTAATCATAGTCTATGCATGCCTGATCCGGATGGCTTGGAAATTACTATAATAATAATGATAATAAATTAATAATATAATATGATTCTAGGCTACCAGAGTGGCCCGGGTCCACTTGCCCGGCCGGGCCAAAAAGGAATAAAAAAATAAAAAAATAAAAAATATTTTTCAAATTAAAATTTTATTTTAAATTTGGTACAGAATTTCGATGTGACCCTGAGGCGAAAGTTGCTCAATTTATTTTTCTGCATAACATAGTTTTCTTTCGGAATTTTTGGAATTCTTTTTTTTTTTTTTTTGGCCGGGACCTTCCCTGGTCCTTGCACGGCCGGGCAGCCCGGGAAAATAGGGTGACCCGGGCGGCCCGGCTGGTAGCCTAGATATGATTATATAATAGTCGACCTGCAGAAGGTAGTAACTATACTACCTCAGGAGGCTTTACTGTAAATGTCTTACAGTTAGCGTTTCACGGTCGCCACCTTCTTATGCATCATGCGACGCCAGGCGATGACCTCAGTAACCATCCTCATATTTTTGCCTGTATTTTACACAGACCCGGGCATTATATGGCACTGATTTGTGCAGCTGCCCAGTGGGAACTGTGGGATGGTGGGACGATGAGTCAGGTCATTTTCGACGTGAATGAATTTTTGCGAGCGTTGTCGAATCATGCTTTATTCTGGATTATTGACCGACTCTCGTGTGAC